CAGCTGATCGAGCGTTGGCGATGCTAGCGTTAGCTGTGAGCGCTTACGGGAACCTCAGCTCACCGTTTTCAAGGAGTTACACAGAACTTCCTCCTGTTTGTCCAACGACTGAATGTTGCCAAATACAACCACCTCCTGGAGAAACCAGCAGCTTACCTCCTACCAGTCACCAGTAAAAATGAGGGAAATATATATTTAACGGCAGCTGGCATCCTTGTACATGCAGTGCTGCCATCTTCTGTCTCAGTCCGTTATTACACTCTTAAATCCTGCTACTCATTCCTGCGTGTTTTGTGATCTTACAAAGCTTCAAACGATGAGTCGACGATTAAATCAGTCGTCGAAGATTTTGATAGTCGACCTAATCGTGGCAGCCCTATTTGAAAACCATGGCACACAGTATATCAGCAGAAATGTGCATGACTAGCTTGACAGTTGATCCTTGCTGCTCTCTGTAGTTGCTTAAATACAATAAAGTTCCTACTCATCAAACCAGTGTTTTAGTATTTTGTAATAAAGCTACTGTGTTAGTGTACAGTGTTAATACTGGGACTGATCGATCTGCTTGTGTACTCACAAGCACGGCGCAAGATCATCGGGCCAGCTGCTCTTGGTGCAACCTAGGTCTCGGCTGAAGACCAGAGGAGACCGTGCCTTTGCCGTTGCTGCACCCAGGCTATGGAATACTCTCCCTCTTCATATTCGCGCGTCAGATTCCATTCAGTCTTTTAAATCACGTTTAAAAACGTATTTGTTTGATCTGGCATTTAAGGCGAATTAGGGTAATTTACATCTGGCTCTGTATTTAGATTATGTAATTATCTTATATTTTATATATTTGTAATTTATATTTTATTGTGATTTTATTTGTACTGCGATTTTACTGGAAAGCACTTTGGTGTACTTTGGTCTTAAAAATGTGCTATATAAATAAATTTTGATTGATTGATTTGAAATTTTGGGTCCTTCGCTCTAGTTAGTGTTGACGCAGCGCATGCCACATCCGATTTGTAAAGACAACTTACTGCTAAAGAGAGACAGACGGCAAAGTGGGCAGTACATCAGTTTAACATTAACTCGTTGCTGCAGCACTAAAGTGATCCCACATCTGAAAAAGCATGCGGGGCTGCTCGTGTGTTGAATTTATGGCAGTGAGGTGCAGGCCTTATCATTTGCTGCAGGAGTTCAGAATCATCGTTATTGTGGCAGTGTACATTCCTCCTGACGCTAATGCTAAGGAGGCGCTACGGGAGCTGTACGAGGCCGTCAGGGACCTGCAATCTCTCCACCCCGAGGGATTTTTCATTATCGCTGGGGACTTCAACCAAGCAAACCAAGGACATCAAGCTCAAAGAAAGTCAGTGATCTCTTTGCCTGGTCAGGAGATTCTCAGCGAATGTGGCGGGACATCCAAACACCTCTCAACCAGACGCAGTTAACACATGGGACTCAAAACAATGAGCCAGCATGGAAAACCAGCCCCTCGCCAGACAACCAAGTGCTGTCCCTGTCCACGGCCCGAGTGAAAGGACTCTCGCTAAAGTCAACCCACACAAAGCTGCTGGACCAGATAATATACCCGGACGTGTGCTCAGAGCCTGTGCTGACCAGCTGACCGATGTCCTAGGACAGCGGTCTCAAACCTTTTTTGCGCCACGGACCGGTTTATGCCCGACATTATTTTCACGGACCGGCCTTTAAGGTGTCGCGGATAAATACAACAACATGAAACTAGTACCGGTACCGAAAAAAAGAAGATTTATTCATAACACACGTGAACAGACCCAGGAAAACAGAGTTAACGATAAAAACAATAACAAAATAACGCTGAAAACCGATAAAAACCCTGAAAACCAGACATTTCACACCTGAGCCTCAACTCTCACGGCCCGGTACCAAACGACCCATGGACCGGTACCGGTCGAAGGCCCGGGGGTTGGGGACCGCTGTCCTAGCAGACGTCATCAACATGTCCCTGAGCCAAGCTGTTGTGCCACAATGCTTAAACCCCCCCCCCCAATCAGACCTGTGCCAAAGACAGCTACAGCCTCGGAGCTCAAATACTACTGCCCAGAAGCACTTACTCCAATCATCACGAAGTGCTTCGAGCAACTAGTCCTGAGTTACATCAAGAAGCAGCTCCCCCCCAAACTGGACCCACTACAGTTCGCATATCACGATCAATGGGTGATGCGATCTCATTGGCACTCTGCCTAGCTCTATCACACCTGGATCAACGCAACGCCCACATAAGAATGCTGTTCATTGATTTCAGCTCAGCATTCAACACCATCATCCGCCAACAGCTGATCAGCAAGCTGGACCTGCTCGGACTCAACACCTCCACCTGCAACTGGATCCTGGACATTCTCACTGATAGATAGTACAGGTTGGAAATACAAGATCCAACACCATCACACTGAGCATAGACGCCCTCCACCCCCCAGGAATGTGTGCTGAGCCCACTAATCACGCTGCTGACCCACGACTGCACCTAGCTCCAGCTCCAACACAATCCAAATGATCAAGTCTCCAGATGACACCCCAGTGGTGGGACTCATCAGGGACGATGATGATGCTGCATACAGAGAGGATGTGCAACAGCACTTTGGTGCAAGGACAATAATCTATGTCTCAATGTTGACTTTAGGAAGACCAAGGCTGTCCATCTCCAGCTCAGCATTACTGGTGTCGCAGTAGAGAGTGAAGAGCACCAGATTCTTCAGTGTTTGCATCACAGAGGACCAGCAACACCAAATCAGTGACAAAAAGAGCTCAGCAGCGACTGCACTTCCTGAGACGACTAAGGAAGGTTTTGCCTCCCCAAACCCATCCTTAACACCTTCCACAGATGCACCATGGAGAGCATCCTAACCAGCGGCATCACAGTCTGGTATGGAAACTGCCACAGTCTGACTGCAGAGCGCATTATTGGCAGCTCTGTACCCAGACTACAGGATGTTTACACCTCATGCTGCTATTCAGAAAGCCAATAGCATCACTGTCACGACTTAGCTAACATAAACTAATGTTAGTCTGTTAGCCACAAACAGCCAACCAACCACATGACGTCACATTCTGTACGACAGAAGATGACACCAAACATCTTTTTAAAACTTTAAGCACTTATTTCTTAAAGCTGGCTTCACAGACAGTGTAATATATGTCAGGTGTGAGAGGAGGACTTAGTGGTGTAAATCAGCCATTATATGTAGAGTTTCATGTCCTCTCTACCTCATAAAGGCTGCAGTTCTTCCTCCTACTGTAGAGAACAGCTCAGTAAATATTGGGTCCTACGTAGAATTTTCGGGCTTTTCAAAACACAAACCTCCCCTGAAAAACCCAAAACATCTGTGACCAAATGATTTGTATGGCTGACATCTACACCAGCCTGCAGACACTTACCAAGAAGCATTAGACGAGGAAGATCATCACAACAGAAACAAAAAACATATTTTAACAGCAACAGTGAAACAAATGAGCATGAGCCTGCTGTCTGCAGGAGGTATAACGACACAACATGATTACAGAGCAGCAGGACGTGTACGAGTGGTGAGGAGATTCTCGTGGGTTGAAATCTAAATGATGACGAAACGCTCGTCGACCAGCCAAATTTTATGCATGATCTTCACTTACAGCTTCAATAAACTCAAATTAAGCTGAATTTAATGTTTTCTCCCCTAAACTCTTGGGGACATATTCTGTTGAGGTCACGTGCACTGCATGAAAACACCACCAGAGGGCAGTCTGTCCTGTAACCAGCCTGCTGAGCTGAGCGAGTTGTGAAACATCTACTTTCAGTTTGTTTCAAGTCTTTCTGTACTATGCAGGTTGGAAACTGTGTCCATATCAGACCTCCTCTTCCTCCTCAGGGTCAGAGTCAGGACTCAGTTTTCAGCCGCCGACACACAATTCAACTTTAATGTGCGTGTAATGGAACCAGAGCCGCCGCTCCAATCAGTCGACACGCTGCGAGGCCAAAGGTATGTGGACAGCTGCACACTTGTTGGACATGTTATTTAAAACCTGGTCACGATTCTCACTCTACAGTCACTTTGGTATGCAGGAGATTAAAACACCGGTCATCCATTTTTATCTGCAGATTTTAGACAAACAGAGGAAACAATCAGCAGAGTGACGAGTCCTGATTAATCAGTGGACTCATCACTGCTGGCTGAACTATGTTTATTACAGTTACTGAACTAAACACAGACTTTCCTGGTTGTATTACTCTGACAGAGTATTAGGGCCACGTAAAGAAAATAAAAATCATTGATATTTTTGAGAATAAAACCAAATGATATTGCGAATGTGTACTTTAAAATGTGTTTTAGTTCCTTTATCACTGCACTGTGTTCATACACAGTGAGCATAAGGACACTGAAAAGAAAGGAAAAACCAATCAAACAAAAGAACAAACACACAATCGTGGAAGCGTTGGCCGAATTTGTACAAAATGAAATGGCAATGAACAAATGCCAGGATATTGATGATTACACCTGCAACAAAGAGGATGGACGTTATCACAAGATATGATAGGAAGATGTTTCAAAGCAAACAAATCCTCTACAAAATAACTAATTTGACTTTTTTCTTGAGATTTTGGTTTTATTCTCAAATTGATCAATCATATTTTTCCTAATGTCGTCCTAATACTCTTTCTATATTACATAATGAACTCTGTGACATGACTTTCCTTCACTGATTGCATGCAGTGAACTAAGCAGTGATGCTTCAACGTCCGATTATTACTACAGGCAGTGAACTCAGCACGTAAAAAATAAACAAATAAATCCCAATTTTGTGGAGTAACCTTTGACCTTTAACTCCGTTGACTGTGTGTCAGACGTTTTCTTGGAAAATAAATCGAAATTCTAGTTTGGCTCTGATGACGTCACGTGACAGGTGTGCGTGGAGGAAGTTGTGCACAAACTGAAGTGAAGAGAGTTGTGATGTAGTGTGTGAGTATCAGCTGGGCCGGTTTGTGTCTGTGGGTCTACCTTGCAGGGGAACGGCAGTGTGGAGGCCACCTTCTCCATGGCCAGGTTCCGGATGCTCGGGGTGAGCGGGCCTCGGCAGGTCGGGCAGCAGCTCAGCTTCTGCCGACACTGGTTACAGACCAGGTGACCCGCCTGGCACTGCAGGATAGGCGGCAGGACGTAGTCGAAGCATACCGGGCACTCGAATAGCGCCGTGAGCTCCGAGGATTGTCCGACGAGGCCGGTAGCCGGCATGGACACGGTGGAGGAAGGGGGAGCAGACCCCGACCCGGCCACGGAGCTCACGCCGGCGGCCGCTGCGGCAACAGAGGCGCCTGCCGCTCCCCCGTGCTTCCCTCCGCCTGCTTTCCCGGCCCCGAGTCCCCCACCTCCGGCTGAAGATGGACGACTCATAGCTTCCAGCTGCGGTCCCGTTCCTGAGAGCTGCCGAACAGGCGGTACCGTCATCTACTGTTTACTACCGGACGTCCCTCGAGGCCCCCGGAGACACAACATGGCGGCTGCTAGTTTGTATCGCCTGTCGGCTCCTGCCATTGGCCGCTACGTCAAAGATTGACAAGCCGCTCGGCCAATCAGAGAGTGGAGTCGTGTTCGGCTTGAAAGCAAAAGAAAAACAAACAGCGTCGCATAAAAGAACAAATATATACAATAGAACAGGAGAGAATATTGGTAACTTATTTAATTATAAATATTAAAAAATGAATGAAGTGAGAATTTAATGTTTTTCTCTTCTTTGCTTTTTGTTGTTGTTTTATTCTTTTTGTAACTGAGCAAAACACTTTTTTGTGGGATTTCCCGCTAAAATGATGAATCATGATAATTAAGCACCTCAGCGTGGTCGGAAACGGCTTTTGTGTCGGTCCTAGCAGAGCTGACCTGTTGTAGCCGCGCTGGGCTGCTCCTGCTTGGTGGCCAAAGTGCTGCAAACTTTTGTGAGTTTCATAATCTTCTACAAAGTTAAACAACTACGGAAACAGTTGTAATAAATTAAGAATTAACAGAACTCAAGCACGAGCAGTTTCCTTCATCCCTGAAAACCCACCACCCAATATTTATGCTTCTTTTTGTAAATGAATGACTCAATTACACCAAAAAGGGTTTAATTTAGAAGTTTACGCTCCCTGCTCAAATCACCTGAAACTCTCTGATGCCCTCTGCTGGATGTTAGACTGACGCGACCGCCTTCTTTGCCCTCATTATCTTCAAATCCAGCGGATGTTAATGAACGGAGACATGAAAGCTCTCAGATGAGCTTCAGATGTTCCTTCCTCTGTGTTCATGTCACAGCAGACCGTGCAGGTCACATTTGGCTCGGGACTTGTTTCATTAAAGCTGCTGCACACGTTTCAGTGTCAGCATGTTGTTTGTGGAGTGGAGCAACAAAGACAAACCAGATGTGTGGATGTGTTTGAATTCATAGAAACCAAATCTGAATTTATTCTCACTTCAATAAGCAGTGACTCCACCGAAGGTAAAACAAACAAACAAACAAACAAACAAACAAACAAACAAACAAACAAAAAACCCTGAAACTGTATAAAGGACGAAAGAAAGAAAAACGTTTCATATTTATTTCCCCAAATGAGCGACTTTAGAACAACAGTTGAAATCTTAGCAAACAAGATGGTGAGAAAAGTATAAAAATCAGAGAATATTTACAGCTGCTGTGCAGCAGTAGTTTTTATTTTGTTGATAGAGAAAGACGGGAATATAAATGTGAAGCTATCGATAATAGAAATCAATATTATTCTTTGTCTTTCGACTGCTCCCTTTGGGGACCGACACAGCAGATCATCCGTCTCCATCTCACCCCCGCAAAACTTCCGCATTTAAAAATAGTTTTAAACTTTCCAAAGCAAAGCTGCCAAAAGAATCTGAGGAAACTACAGTTTTTTATTGATTGATTGAATCTTTATTTTGAACATGTTGAAAAACATAGAATTCAAAGAAACAAATGAACAAAGCAAAACAAAAGGAAAACGAGCAGCCACAACTCCAAATAAGGACAGTTTTCATTTTATATCCAGAACATTTTTACATTGTGTTGAAATAAAATCATAAAAATCAACCCACACATGTGCAATAAGACTGCCATATGTGCAATTCTTTTTCTGACAAAGTTGTACTTTAGTATGTTCTTACTCAGTTATAGCATTTGTATTCCATTTTATTCTATTGTATATAGTATTTTATTTTATTTCATTCCAGTGTTTTCTAATTTCTGCTACATAACTTTGCACTTTTGCTGTAAGGAAACAAATTTCCCACCTGTGGGACTAATAAAGGTCATCTTAGGTCTCGCTCCCTTAAGGCCAAAACAGAGAGAATGAGGAGGAGCTTCTTCCCCCAGGCTATTCGGGCCCTGAACCAGGTGTAGGACTGGGCTCTCCCACACATCACCACACATTTCCTATAATCCTATAATTCCTATAATTTATCATCTTTATAATCTCTTCTGCTATTTGCACATTCTTTACTGTAAATTCCTAAGTTAATTTGTAAATTTTGTAGTAAACCTGTAAATTGTAAATATTGTAAAACTTTTCTTCTGTCATTTAATGGTCGGGCATTGTACAGCTACAAGCATTTCACCCCCATGTCATACTGTGTATGGTTGTGTGTGTGTGACAAATAAAATTTGAATTTGATTTCTCTTATCTCTGACCTTCCCAAAGTGTGGGGCCCGCCCCCTGGGGGGGCGCAGAGCCATTGCAGGGGGGGGGGGGGCGCGGTATGAAAAGGGAAAAAAAAAAAAAACGCTTGGACACTGCTAGCACGGGGCGCCCACACAAACGCAAAGCAGGAGATGAAGCATCGCTGAATCATGTTTCCAAACCAACTTCATTCTAAGCCAAAGACTAGAAAATATGGTGAAGCAAATCTGCCCTTTGGCTTCACCTGCACAGGTGCTGAGGTAGGTCTCCCTGCAGGATTGGTTTTCCCTGCGTCGGGAGCAGCGCTGGGCTGTTCAAATCACGGACAAACAGGATCCCACATCTTGATTTTTAGTTCACAAACACTTGTTGTAATGACTACACTCCTGACATGTTGGAGATGTTTGCTCTTTATACAGTAAAGTACAGTAGCGGTTTTATACGGGCGACACGGGCGGTTGCCCGGGGCGGCATCACGGGCATCGGCAAAAAAAAAAAAAAAATGCTCGTACTCATGCTGCCCCGACATCAGCCAGCGCATACTGGGAATGGTATACAGCACCGATCGGTTTCTATCGCCCATTTCGCTGGGAGTAAGGGCGCCCTCGTTTGCGGCGCTGCAGGAGAGAGGGCGGGCGGCGGTCTAATAACCAACTCGCAAAATAAAACAAAATAAAAACAAACCAACAAACACGAAAACACCAGACATCATGATACAGACTTATAATTTGCACCGATGTTTTTTCGAAATTCTATACACGAAAAGTGAGCGCGAGAGCCCTCGGTGCGCCTGCTCGCTGCTGAAGTCAAAGTAAACTTTATTGTCATCTCCGCTACATGACAGTCCAGCTATATAGAGACGAGACGACGAGGCTCCAGTTACAGCAGTGCAAGTAAACACAACAACTACAGTAAAATAATCACAGCGTGACGCCTCTGCCTTTGTAAATGGAGGGACAGTAACTGCGTGTAAAACCTGCAGACAGTCAGATTAACAGTATTTGTCTCTGCTCATTCTGCAATTTCATCTCATGTAAACAATAACGTGGCCACAGCGTGACGTGAAAAAGGCACATACCTTTGACGTTGCGTGACGAACTCTGTATTCCTCGTCCACACGTAAACGCAAAAAAGGAGTTTTAAAAAATCTCGTTTTCGGTGATTCGAAACGCCGTTTACGTGGACGAAACAGCTGCGTTTCAAAAACACCCGTGTAGGTGCGACGCAGCGTAAAAGAGTTGTAGTTTATTTTCTTACTACCTGTAATTTATTGCAGGATTACTTGTATTTGCTTAATTGTTTACTAAATGTTTGAGGTGTGAAATAAACCGCAATGGAGCAAAATATGGGCGTGTGTGGTTGGAGGATGTGTTTGTGCGTGCGTGTCGCGCTGGGGGGGGGGGGCGAACATTTCTTGTAAAACAAAGGGGGGCAGCAAAAAAAGTTTGGGAACCACTGTCTTATCTTATCTTATCTTATCTGAACTCTACTGACATGTAATACCAAGCTGCACCACAAGATGGTGCACTTCAGTCAGTATATGCTGAATATGGGAAAAATAAACTACATAAATAAATAAATTCACCTTTATGTCCAAATCATTATTTTCAATGTTGAGAACCCACGCAAACACGTGGAGAACATGCAAACTCCACACAGAAAGACCCCGGCCTGATGGTCAGGACCTTCTTGCTGTGCAGCAACAGTGCTGACCACCGTGCTGCCCATTAATCCATAACATGAGGATTTATACCAGCTGTAAAGCACAGGAGGAAAATGTATAAATTCACATCTTTATTCACATTTATGAGCTTTGTGGTATTAAGGGTTTAAATTGATTTGTTGAGCCTGTTTTCACTGATTTAAATTAAAACTGTAACTGATAAAAAGAAAAAAAGATCATTTCTGTGAGCTCAGGTGTGAGTTGGACTTTGGCACATCAGACTGTGTGGAGGGATACCTGAGCCTTCCATCACACTGGTCTGGTAACACCTGCTCCCAGTATCAGTGCGCATTGTTAAAGTTTGGCTCCATAACTGGTTTCTGTTGGCCGGTTCAGGCCGGCTTTGGCCCTCGGCCCACCTGAAAGGCTTTTACTTTTATTTTCCAGGAGGAGTTATAAGAATTAGCTGTCAGCAGCGTCCCAGCTCAATTAACCTTCAGATGCTTTTGAGTTCACTCAACAAAAGCAGCTTGAGAAGACAAAAAAGCTGAGCAAAGCCAGCTGGGAGATCTCTGCAGTGCTTTTTAAAACCTACTGCTGGAGTATGATAACTGAACATGTCAGACACACTCCTGATCTGCAGCTTCTTTAGTAAAACTAAATGTGAAATGTTTCAGTTTTTAGATCAGCTGCTGTATTCAGCTGTTTTATAATGAACCCTCTTACATTTTATTATTGTGGGTGGATTTCATGAAATGAAATACAAACTACCAAAGATCAGAGCACTAACCTTTCTGGGGCTCACATGAACGATCGTCTGTGATCATTTCAGTGGAGCACAAACTGGAAAATTGTAGATGTTTTTGTAGAAACTGACATCATTGTTTTAAACTTCCACTGAGTCACTGGTAAACAAAGAGAAAACCACAAACCAAACTGGACAATATGCTGCTTTTTTCCTTACTTCTGTTCCAAAGAACAGACTTTAACCTCTGACTTCATCACCACGTCTCTGTCTGCCAATTTAATTCCTGCTAATCCGCTAATCTCCTCCTGATGTCATCACATCACTTCTCAGACTTTATTTTTTCAGTCGGCTCTCCACACGAGTCACACCAAATACACATGTGGGCCAACAAAGTGGATTTCACACGTCACACAGCAGATTTTGAGGTTCTTGAACTATTAAAGTTGTGATGAGTTTTTAAATGTAACTGCACATTTAGGACAAACTGTCAGACAAGCTGGAGATGTGATCGATGCACTGAGCTCCTCCATCCTGCTCATCCTGGACGTCGCTTCGTGTGACACTGATCGCTGGCTTGTGGATTATTGTTTGGAAGGATGGAATTTGTCATTTTGGTTGACACCATTTAGTTTTCTTTCACCTGGATGTCTGTTTTATAGTTTGAATAAAACCACCTTAAAATGAAAACAGTTTAAAAAATGATGTTAAAGGGAAAAAACAGCAGAGAAAGATAAATAAATGAATCAGTAAACTGCACGAGACATTCTGAGAATGTTGTTGGTTAACCCAACAATACAAAGTGTAACTGTAACATCAGTAAAAGTGCAGAATTATATTTAAGAGCTACAAATTGTTAATCTGATGTTTGAAGGTTTTGTAACATGTTAACAAAAATGTCATCATAGCACCTTAAGGAGGATTTTTAGCCAACATGGTTAGCAGGAATCAGAAGTTGTTGTGACACTGTTGAGCCCCCATACAGGGACCACCGCACTACAGCAAACACACTGACCTGCATCATCAGCCCTCTCTCCCTCTCTCTGTCTCTCAGTGAGTTTCCTCCTCCCTGCTCTGTGGTCGGACTCTGATGTGTGTTTGCACTGTTACTAATAGACTGTTTTTGCCGGGTCAATAACAGTTATCCGAACGAGATGAAGTTCCTCTGCAGTGGATCAATTGCGCCTCTCGTGCTTCTCCTCATCCTGCCAGGTAAAACCCATTTTCAGCTTCACTTCAGGTATTTTTAAAGTGCAGAACCATGAACACAGTGAGTGTTTTTCTCATTATTGTTACTGATGTTGATATTTCAGGGTTTTACTGTATGTTTTCTTAAAGTGGGGAAAGTGTGAGCTTTTTTAAACAGTGTTCAGTGTTTTACGTGAACGGTGATATAACTGAGGATTAATGATATTGATCTCTGTGCTGCTGCTGAACCTCTGAACACGCTCCATTCTCCTCCATTACAAATCGCTCCAAGTGATATTTTATTAGCGGTGAATCTGTAGATTTCTATCTATGATTAGTTCACTGTTTCATTCCCAAAGTGTCCAAAAATACTTTATATATGCCCATCATATTGGATTTAAAGAGGCACACTGAAAGTGCCCTAAAATATAAAAATAATATGATAAACAAAAGCTTTAAGTTTTGTAATATTCCTTTAAAATGACTGATATTTAAAGCCCTACACCCTGTAAGCATGACCTCCCAGGCTTTATTAATAACCATCTGTGTCTTTGTTCATTAAACAGTGAACATTTGCTTCTATGATTCGTTTCATTCTCTGAGACATCAGTGTGCGAGCAGAAGAGAAGCTCTGAGACCAAAACATTGTTTGGATTGAAAATTGGACCTTAAAATGTAAAAAATGTTTTACAAACAAAATATGAAGAAGTTTTCTGGAACTAACAGACCAGACAGACTCGTTCACACCGTGCGTCTTGTGCATGTTCTGCTTTGTGTTGTATGCTGTATATTCTGCTCAGCCTTACTAATAATGACATCAGCGTATGGGCGGTAACCCCTGTGACCCTCACGCTGCTCTGAACACTCAGCTTCACACTGCTTTCTCCTCACTGTGCTCTGTCATGTCATAAGGGCAGAATATCCTTATATGATCAGATCAGGCACACAGCTCTGGTAGTGATAATAGAAGCCCCGCCCACCTGTTATTTAAGATTCTTTTATGAGGGGCAGCCAATCAAAAGAAGGCTGGCTTAAAGCAAGGATTGCCTTAAATGGGGAGGAACTAAAACAGCTTATTTCAGACAAACCTGGGGGCCTTGCTCTCAGGCCCATATAAGATTATCATGGATTGTTTTAAACTTTGAATCATGTAAAGCTACCACGAGAATAAATTATGGAGCTGGAGCTGTGGGAGACTGCAGGTTTTTCTGGTACTTTTGTATCTTTGCATTCTTAATCACTTATTTAGGGACTAAAACTAATCGGTTAGGTTGAGAAAAGGAAGTAGTTTGAATTAAAATGTGGGCCTTTGCAGCATTAAATATGCAAAAATGACAGATTTAGAATTTTTCAGATTAAGGATGTTCACTCACAGTGACATCACACAGAGCCAAGAGTCGAAAACGTGCCTGAAACTGAGTGTTGAGAGCTTCTAGCTCACAGGGATTATTGGACATGACCTCATTATTTAAGACTTTGGTAATGTTTATTATAAGAAATTTATATTATATCATCATGTAAATGAAAGAAATGGAGGAAAAAGTAAAACAGTTCCAATTTAATGGGAGAATTAATTATAAAAATTGCGCATTAAGATGTAGAAGTACTGATGCTGCAAAGCAAAGTTAACTATGCTGTCGGTGAAGTCTGCTGACTTTGAAAAAGTCATATGATGGATTTTTTAATTTTTTATTATTAGATTAGACCATGAGCAAAGAATCCGATTACTTTATTATCTTTGAGCAAATTATGTGTTCACAGTGTCAATGTCCTGCATCAACCATTTCAATAGTACAGGTTTGTGTTTAGAGCCATCACTCTGGGCCCTTTCTCTATATATACATTCAATCAGAGACGTTGGAACGTCTTCTGAAGAAAATCACGACGCTGTGCAGCACTGGCAGGCAGGATGTTCAGTGATAAGCATCAGTGGATGGAGGATTAAAGCTGTCTGGTGACCTGTGCACTAGCGATGTGTCGGTCGCGAACGAAACGGCTCTTAGAGCCG